AAAAAAAAAAAGGGGGCGCCTGGGTGGCTCAGGCGTTAAGTGTCTGCCTTCGGCTCAGGTCATGATCCCAGGGTCCTGGGATCGAGCCCCGCATCAGGTTCCCTTCTCTGCGGGAAGCCTGCTTCTCCCTCTACCACTCCCCTTGCTTGTGTTCCCTCTCTGGCTGTCTTTCTGTCAAATAAGTAAAACCTTAAAAAAAAAAAAAAAAAAAGAATCCTATGCTCTACCTACTGGGCTAGCCAGGTGCCCTGAAAATAATGATTTTTTAAAAGATTATTTAAGGGTGCCTGGGTGGCTCAGTTCGTTAAGCGACTGCCTTCTGCTCAGGTCATGATCCTGGAGTCACAGGATCGAGTCCCACATCGGGCTCCCTGCTCAGCAGGGAGTCTGCTTCTCCCTCTGACTCTCTTCCCTCTCGTGCTCTCATTCTCTCACTCAAATAAATAAAATCTTTAAAAAAATAAAATAAAAAATAAAAGATTATTTAAGTAATCTCTACACCCAATGTGGGGTTCAAACTCACAAACCAGAGATCAAGAGTTGCATGCTTTACCAACTGAGTCAGCCAGGCGCCCCCTCGAAAATAATTTTTAATGTACAGTACTCAGAAAACAAAGTTCATGTCTTTCAAAAAAAGAACATTTTCCACTGTGACTTCTCTACACTTGATTTTGTAAATATCAGAATGCTTCACTTATCTGACATCAGGGATCTCAGTGTTCCATATAAATGAACTTTCAAGGTGACTTAAGCACCAATCCTTTTATAATTGTTATATTGTCACTACTCTTCCTTTATTAGAGGGGTTTGTAACAAAGGTGAGTTTTAACCCTTTTACAGGATCAGCATGATTGAATATACTTTCATCCTATACCCCCCTTCTGTTACTCCTTTTATATTTTAGCTTTTTAGTTTAACCTGATGGAACTTTCTGATTGGGAATTTAGTTTATGGACCCTACCAATCTTTCTCCTGTTATTATCCCTATTCATTCATTCATTCATTCATTCGTACAAACATTTATTGGGCATTTAACCCATGCCAGGCACTGTTGCCAGGCACTGTTCTAGGCACCAATGATACAGCAAGTCATGAAGCAAGTTACTTCATTGGTTACCTAATCACTTGGTAACTATCAAATGACAGGATATACCAGAAATAATACCAAATTAGGTATGTATGGATCTTTATTTTAGGGAGTTTGATTTTTTACTATGTCTTTGTGTGTAGTAAACTACACATATTTACTATTTGTGTGGCATTAAGTGCATTCACATTCTGCAAACTTCACTACCATCCATCTCCAACGAACACCCCATTCTCTCCTCTATACACACTTTGAACTTTCTCAAATTTAGAGTGATCAGAGGGGCACCTGGGTGGCTGTCAGTTAAGCGTCTGCCTTCAGTTCAGGTCATGATCTCAGGATCCTGGGATGGAGCCCTGTGGTGGGTTCCTGGCTCAGCGGAGAGCCTGTTTCTTCCCCTCCTTCTTGCAAATAAAATCTAAAAAAAAGTGAAAAGGGCCCAACTGTGTTTTACATAATTTGGCACCTGTACCCATACTCACCTCTGAGGGGATAATACGATAGTCTACTTGGGCCCTCTTTTTATACAATTTTTAAAAAATAGGCTCCACGCCTAACATGGGGCTTGAACTGACAATCCGGAGATCAAGAGTCACATGCTCCACGAACTGAGCCAGCCAGGTGCCCCTAGGTCTTTTTGATAGTCTCGTTTTCCCCAAATCTGTAAATTTTATCCCCAACTCAGTAAAATTATGCCAGTTACACTTCCTGCATCAGGGAGTATCCTCTCAAATTTACAAAGAAACAGTATTTGTAGAAGTCTGAAAATTATGCCATGAAAATTTATCCCTGGATTAAGTTAGATTGCACAGCATAGTATATCATGGGGACTCATGACTGCGTTAAGCAACAGCTTTCTTTTTATGACTACCACTCATGGGTTTCTTAAGTGGACAGCCTTTTGGGGATCAATTACCCATATACACAAGAATTAGCTAATCATTTAAAGTATACAGGATTCCATAGTATCCATCTTTGTACTAACATCTTGTAATCTTACTTTACCCCTAGTTCCCTTAGCCTTTTTCAAAGTAAACTACACCCAACATTGGGGTCGAACTCACAGCCCTGAGATCTGGAGTCACATATTCTACCGAGTCAGCCAGGAGTTGCTCCATTCTTCTTTTTATCTTGTCATATTGTTTTTGTGAAGTGTTACCTTAATTTCATTTTGAAACAATTTGTGCTGTAAATAATTAAGAGTATAGCTTATTTTCCTTTAGTAAGATCTTAACACTTTTTAAAAAGATTTTTATTTATTTGACAGAGACAGCAAGAGAGGGAACACAAGCAAGGGGAGTGGGAGAGGGAGAAGTACGCCTGCTGCGGAGCAGGGAGCCCAACGCGGGGCTTGATCCCAGGACCCTGGGATCATGACCTGAGCCAAAGGCAGACACTTAACGACTAAGCCACCCAGGCGCCCCAAGATCTTAACACTTTTTGTTTCAAGAAAAGACCTCCCTCTCATATACTGTTGGTGGGAGGTTAAAGTGGCAAAGCTTGTTATTCCACTTGTATTTGCTTTCTTGGAATTTAGTTTTCTTGTTTTCTATATTCATGACTCCCATTGGTGGTATATTTCTCATCTTACCTTTCTATTTACCTATTTGACAGAGAGAATACAAGCAAGGGGGAGTGGGAGGGAGAAGCAGGCTTCCCGCAGAGCAGGGAGCCCGATGCGGTGCTGGATCCCAGGACGCTGGGATCATGACCTGAGCCGAAGGCAGATGCTTAACGACTGAGCCACCCAGGCGCCCCGCAGTTCCCCCTTTCTATAAAGGAATTTACCTCTTAACTGTTGAAGCCATACCTCCCAACCTCTTCCTCTCCCCAGTAACATCCAGCCCTTGGATCTTATCTTTGTCCTCTTGGGCCTCCTATCTTCTCCAACATTTCAGGTATTCTAGTGCCTTAAGGCCATTGTATTTGCTGTTCTCTGTTCCTCCAGGTATCTACAAGGCTCTCTCCCTTTTTTATTAGGATGATTCAGATGATCTTAATTTGTTCTGTATTTTTCTATTTATTGATATATCATTAAGGTTTTTATTTATTTTTTTTTATTTTTAAGATTTTATTTATTTGACATAGAGAGAGAGAGCAGCGAGAGCAGGAACACAAGCAGGGGGAGTGGGAGAGGGAGAAGGCGGCTTCCTGCCAAGCAGGGAGCTCAATGTGGGGCTCGACCCCAGGACCCTGGGATCTTGACCTGAGCTGGACACTTAAAGACTGAGCCACTCAGGTGCCCCAGGTTTTTACCTTTCTAAAGATTTTATTTTATTATTATTTTTTAAAGATTTTATTTATTTGAGAGAGAGAGAATGAGAGCACATGAGAGGGGGGAGGGTCAGAGGGAGAAGCAGGCTCCCCGCTGAGCAGGGAGCCCGATGTGGGACTCGATCCTGTGACTCCAGGATCATGACCTGAGCCGAAGGCAGTCACCCAACCAACTGAGCCACCCAGGCGCCCTCCTTTTTAAAGATTTTATTTGACAGAGAGTGCACAAGCAGGGGGAGTGACAGAGGGAGAAGCAGGTTCCCCACTGAGCACGGAGCTCGAGCCCTGATCCCAAGACCCTGGGATCATGACCTGAGCCAAAGGGAGACGCTTAACTGGCTGAGCCACCCAGGTGCCCCAGAAATAAAATCTTTAAAAAATAAAAATAAAAAATATGGGGCGCCTGGGTAGCTCGGTCGGTTAAGCATCACACTCTTGATTTCGGCTCAGGTCATGATCTCAGGCTCGTGAAACTGAGCCATCAGTGAGGAGTCTGCTTGAGATTCTCTCCTCCCTCTCCCTTGGCCCCTCACCCCACTCTCTAAATAAGTATTTTTATTTTTTATTTTTTTTTAAGATTTTATTTGTTTATTTGAGAGAGAGAGAGAATGAGAGACAGAGAGCACGAGAGGGAAGAGAGTCAGAGGGAGAAGCCAACCCCCCGCCGAGCAGGGAGCCCAATGTGGGACTCGATCCTGGGACTCCAGGATCATGACCTGAGCCGAAGGCAGTCGCTCAACCAACTGAGCCACCCAGGCGCCCTAAATAAGTATCTTTAAAAATAAATAAAAAACAAAGATACCTGAGGCACTTCAATCTCATAGATCCCATCAGTCTATTACATAGATTATAATAATTTAATTCTATGCCCGTTGCTTTGAGGAAGAAAACAAAGGAGCTCTCACTCCTACACCTTTTTATAGAAGTCACCCGAAAGATAATCCACCTCTTTACTAAAACACCCTCACCTTACATTAGAGTTGTCTGAGTATGTTTTCTATTAGGGTGGGCTTCTTAAAGACATAAACTGTATTATTCATCTTTCCTTCACCACAGTGCTTGGTACTGAACATTCTCAATATTGACAACTAAGATGACCGAAAAAGGGAGGGAAAGGGGCGCCTGGGTGGCTCAGTTGGTTGAGCATCTGCCTTCAACTCAGGTCATGATCCCAGGACCCTGGGATCAAGCCCTGTGCCGGGCTCTGTGCTCGGCGGGGAGCCTGCTTCTCCCTCTCCCTGCCACTCCCCCTGCTTGTGTTATCTCTCTCAAATAAATAAAATCTTAGAAAAGAAAAAGAAAAGGGAAGAACAATGATTTTTTTTTTTTTAAGATTTTATTTGAGAGAGAGCACGTGAGCATGGGAGAGGGGCAGAGGGAGAGGGAGAAGACTCCCCAGTGATCAGGGAGCCCGATGTGGGCAGGGCTCAATCCCAGCACCCTGGGACCAGGGCCCAAGCCAAAGACAGGTAACATAACCAAATGAGCCACCCAGGCGCCTCAAAACAAGGATTTTTAAAGAGGAAGAGAAACAATTACACTATTGGGTATAAGCAAAAATGTCAGGAAAAGGACGGGTTCCCAAATCAATCCAGTTATGTATTTTTTCCCATTCTACCATAATAAAGAGACAATCCCATTTTCAAAGAAATTAACTTTTATTTGAAAGGAGACTACTTTTCCTCACACGTATCTTTTAAGGACTCTATACTATACAATAATAGCCTGCTTAACCATTGTCCCAATACCAAAATTTCTAACAGGAAAGTATATAATTGCTCTAAGTAATAAATAATAAGAGTTGTCCTTCACTGATTAAGGGAATACTTAAATTTCAATAAATTCAACACAAAAATCACACTTTAAGTTTTAACAGATGTATTTTAAATACAACATATTTTGTAGGAGTCCACAAGCTTTTCATCTCTAAAAAAATGATGTAATTTTTAGGGTTCAAAAATTTCGTTCTTCAAAAGAAATGACCAAGTGTTTTCTTCTATAGCTTCAAACTTTCTACACTCAACTATCTGACTGCTCCACGCCACCCCAGACAAACTTGACATGACTGAACTACTTTATGTGTTACTACCTTCCCCAAAAGAAAGTTAAAAAAGGAGTCTGTCATAAATGGAGGTCCCTAGTACAATATCTAATACAATATCTAACACAAAAGAAGCTTTAAAAAGATCATTTCTTTCCTCATTTGATTAGCCAGGAGTTAATTTTCTGTAAAAACAAAGCAAAGCAAAAAAAGAAAAAAAGTTAAAAAAAAAAAGAAAAAAGAAAAAAATCATTTACAAAGCCTAACACTGGGAGTTCCTTTTTTTACTTAAGATGCTTACTCAAATGACAACAATTATATCTTTAAGAGCATACTAAAAGGGGTGGAAACAGAAATACAACTGACATAGTGTAGATGGTGAATAAACCGAAGATTTTTTTAAAGGGTTTTTTTTTAAGAAGTAAGAAGGATTAGAAGCTTGGGGAAATCCAGAATTAAACAAAAAAACCAAACCAAAACCAAAACAAACAAACCCCAAATCAACACACACACACACACACACACACACAGAGAAAAAGATGTCCTCATCTGCAACCATTCTGTATATCAATAGCGTCCTGAAAGAGAGCAAAAAAACACAAAAGTCAAAATGACAATTATAGTTTGACTTGCCTATTATTTGTCCAACTATCAACAATCTCTATACCCTAATTTTCTAAAATTAACCACTGATTAGGAAAGGTTCTTAATGCTACAAAAGTAAAAGTATACGTACTTGGGCTGTAGGAACGAGATCTCGATCGTGACCTGTACCGACTATAGTAAGGAGAAGGTGATCTTCTTCTGTAGGAAATAAAAGATAAAAAATTGGCATACCACATAATCACTCCACTGAAGCAAGTGAAAATAAAAATTCTCCATCATTCAAATACTATTACATTCTCTGTGTGCCAATTAATACTAGAACAGCAAGCATACGGGTACAACAAAATACTGGCAAATACAGATAATTAACCTTTGTTCTCAATCTTGAGAAAATCATCTCCCTCTACTTTCTCAAGAAACCATCATCTATTTTAAATATTTTTATTAATACGTATGAAACATAAATTAAAAGTGCCAAATAATATAACTATCATCTAATTTAGAACAGAAATTACAAATTAAAACATTACCTGTACCGGTAATCATAGTCTTCATATCTGTCATACCCACGATCATATCCTCTATCATAGTAAGAGTCTCGACGCCGGCCACCGCCTCCACCTCCACCACCACCTCCACCACCGCCACCGCCACTACTATAGAAGAATGTAAAAATTTTACATCAATGAGATTTTCCAGTATCATTTAATACCAATCGGTACTTAACTAAAATGGAGGGAGGTGGGAAGATAAGGGAGAAAGAACAACCCTTTTCATGTCAGTGACCGCCATGTGTCTCACTTTGCTGACTCCCATGGTATTATTTTGCTTCGGTTTCCTATCTGTTACATAAATAACCAGGAATGATTTCACAAAACTCTCAAACTATAAACTGTTTTTATTAATGCACTACCCAAATCAGCAGGACCTTTTCTTTTCAACAAGCTGAAATGAAGTACTGTGCCGGGAAACAGCACCAAAATGCTAAGATTTAAGTCCTTATGATTAATTCAAAAACAATTAATAAACATCAAGAATTTAAAAAGGTTAACTGACCCTGAACAGCAGAAAGAATTAACTACCTTACGCTGAGGTCTGGCCCTAAAATAATTTCAAGGTCTGGCTTTTAAATCTTTGGCAGCAAATTTAAACTCTGAGCACTTTCTCCTGTAGTTTTTCCCAACTCCTAATCACAGGGACACTATTTTCACTTTAGTTTTTTTTTGTAGGCTTTCCTTACCAAACTCTACATTTTCCCCAGTAAGGTTTCAAAGTAATTGAAAGCCTATATTCCTCTTTCACTTTTTTTTTTTGTAAGGTTTTATTTATTTGACAGAGACACAGCTTGAGAGGGAACACAAGCAGGGGCAGTGCGAGAGGGAGAAGCAGGCTTCCCGCTGAGCAGAGAGCCCGATGTGGGGCATGATCCCAGGACCCTGGGATCATGACCTGAGCTGAAGGCAGATGCCCCCAACGAATGAGCCACCCAGGCGCCCCTCCTTCTTTCACTTTTAAGAACTTTCTTCAGTTGTTTTATATTAAAAAAAAAAAAAATTTTGTAAAAGCCTCTATTTTCTGTACGATGTGAAAACTGGCTTAAAAAAAAAAAAATACACACCAGTATCAGTAAAACTCTTCCCTATCCACAAGTCTTCCAAAGTCACATAAGAATAGAAAGAAAATACTTAAGGGGTGCCTGGGTGGCTCAGTCGGTTAAGCGTCTGCCTTCAGCTCAGGTCATGATCCCAGGGTCCTGGGATCGAGCCTTGCATCGGGCTCCCTGATCGGTGGGAAGCCCTGCTTCTCCCTCTCCCACTCCTCCTGTTTGTGTTCCCTCTTGCTGTGTCTGTCAAATAAATAAATAAAATCTTAAAAAAAAAAAAAAAACTTAAAAGCATACACTATTTTCTAGTATTTAATACTTTTTCTATTTGTACGGCACCAAGGAAAGAGCCAGGAATGACTTTGATGGTTTTAATTCGTCCCTCTCCTCAAACAGATGTAAGAATATACACAAATTAAATAACTTTCAATTCTAATTACAGGAAAAAAAATCATTTTATCTTTTGATTAATCCAAAGTTTGCATACATTTCTGGTGAATTTCTGGCTCTTAGTTTAGCTTAAAAAACTTGAAATCTTACTGAGTTGGTCGGCCCATGTAGATGCCGGGTGTAGGTGTGTGAGCTCTCTTGGTAATAGAATAATCCACTCGAATTCTTCTACCATCCAGCTCCATTCCATTTGCCCTTTCCATAGCCTTTAAAGGAGAATAGGCACAGAAAGTCATGCATAATTCACTAATGAGAAACTACTAAAACTGCAACAAATTTAACACTTTTCCATTTGAAATTTAAATTAAAATTCTCTAAACTTCTTTCCCAAACAACAGGGGCCAGGATTTTACATATGAATCCTTGCTATATGCATGTCAATGGCACTGAGTTTTCTTATGTACACATCTGCTGGAAGACTGGGGGCAGATATTGAGAAAGAACCATCCAAGCTGGGCAACTCAAGTCTAGGCAACTCCAAGCAGAAATTGCAATTCAGCTGACAAGTCTAGGTTAGCCAAAAACTATTCCTTAGGTAACACACCGCCACCTAGTGAACTCCAAATATAAAAGAACTTCTAAACCTGCCAACAAGTGCTCCTGTCTTTGTATCTGAACTCACATTCCCTATCACTCTGCCCTTCAGCACTAATACCAATAAATGGGATAGTAATTCCAACTACTTTTCCAAATTTGCAAGTTCCATGGAACTAAAGTAAAATTGCCACTTTCATTTTATTGTATAAAGAAATAACCCTGGCAGGGTGGTTACGGGAGGAATCAAGAGTTAGGACAAATTTCATATTAAAAAAAAATCTTAATTGTGATATTATTTTATACTTCACAACTTTTACTTAAGGTCAGATATCTTAGTATTTTTAAAATTTATACCTTTATCTCTTGAGAACAGAAATAAGCAAATCACAAATGTGTAACCAAAGAAGAGTCATAATAATACTTGACAGATCAAAACATTATAGAGGGGCGCCTGGGTGGCTCAGTGGGTTGAGTGTCCCAACCCTTGATTTTGACTCAGGTCATGATCTCGGGGTTGTGGGATCAAGCTCCACGTTGGGCTCTGCCCTGGGCATGGAGCCTACTTAAGATTTTTCTCTCTCCCTCTGCCTGCCCCCAGCTCATGCCCGCACACACTCTCTCTCTCTCTCTCAAATAAATAAATAAATAAATAAATAAATAAATAAAAAGAGAATGCTGATTAGAATGTCTATTACATAAATGACTTACAACCTGGAGTGTTATTTTGTTAGAATTATCTGGGGTTTTTCAACCTCCATACTATTAATATTTTTGGACTAATTATATATATATATTAAAGATTTTATTTATTGGGCGCCTGGGTGGCTCAGTTGGTTAAGCGACTGCCTTCGGCTCAGGTCATGATCCTGGAGTCCCTGGATCGAGTCCCGCATCGGGCTCCCTGCTCGGCGGGGAGTCTGCTTCTCCCTCTGACCCTCCCCCTCTCATGCTCTCTCTCTCTCATTCTCTCTCTCAAATAAATAAATAAAATCTTTAAAAAAAAAAAAAGATTTTATTTATTTATTTGAGAGAGAGAGAATGAGAGACAGAGTGCACGAGAGGGAAGAGTGTCAGAAGGAGAAGCAGACCCCCTGCCGAGCAGGGAGCCCGATGCGGGACTCGATCCTGTGACTCCAGGATCATGACCTGAGCCGAAGGCAGTCGCTTAACCAACTGAGCCACCCAGGCGCCCTGCTAATTCTATATTGTGGGTGGCTATCCTGTGCATTGTAAGAGGTTTGGCATCATTCCTGGCCTCCATCCACTAGATGCCACTAACATCTACCAATTTTGAAAGATATGCTAACTTTATTTATTCATTCATTCATTCTTTTTTAAAGATTTTATTTGAGAGCGAGCAAGAGAGAGAGCACACAAGCAGAGGGAGAGGGAGAAGCAGATTCCCCTGCTGAGCAGGATCATGATCTGAGCTGAAGGCAGAAGCTTAACAACTGAGCCACCCAGGTGTCCCAGATAGCATCTAACTTTTATTATGACTGTTTATGTCGCAAATGCTGTTGATGCATAGAGCAATGACCTGTGTCCAACTACTATCACATGTAAAATGATACATTTGCCATTTATTAAGTTTGTTTTTGTTTTTTTTAAGTAAGCTCTGCACCCAATGTGGGGGTCTAACTCATGACCCTGAAATCAAGAGTTGCATGCTCTACCAACTGAGCCAGCCAGGTGCCCCGCCATTTATTAAGGTTTGATTAAAACAACAACACTTACTTCTTGAAGTAGTGGAGACCCAATATGGGGCTTGAATTCATGACCCTGAGATCAAGACCTGAGCTGAGATCAAGACTCAGATTTTTAACCAACTGAGCCACCCAGTGCCCCAAAAAGGGTTTGATAAAACTTTAACAATGGGCTTCAAATTCCTTAAATGGAATTTTCTAACCCAATCACTATGAACTATTAGTATAGAGAAAGCAAGCCTACTGCTCCCTTTATAATCCAATATCTAATACATTAGAGTAGCACAGCTTCAGGGGCGCTTGGGTAGCTCGGTCAGTTAAGTGTCCGACTCTTGATTTTGGCTCAGGTCACGATCTCAGGGTTGTGATATGGAGCCCCACATGGGGCTCAGCAGAGAGTCTGCTTGAGATTCTCTCTCTTTTTCCCCTTATCCCACCCCATGCTCTCAAATAAAACCTTAAAAAAAAAAAAAACAAAAAAAAAACCCCAATTCTATGTATTATATTTTAATTATAGAACAGAATGACAGATGAATATGAAAATAGAAAAACAAAGCTCTGTATCTATACATGGGAAGCTAACTCCACACAAAATTAAACAGATTAAAGAACAAAATTTCTTTTTAATTTTATTTTTAAGTAATCTCTACACCCAATATGGGGCTTGAACTCACAACCCTGAGATCAAGAGGAACATACTCCACCAACTGAGCTAGGTGGGAGCCGCAAAGTATCATGTAATTTCTAAAAAATTAGTTTAATCATCTGCTTAGAATATAACATTAATTAAGTCAAAAGAGAACATTTATATACTTACTACTTTTTCCATTAACTCAAACACAAATTACCTCACTTTACAAAGCCAGATTTCAATCAGGATATGCCTATCCCAGAAAATATTAGCTGGAAAGTGAACTGGTAATTTCCAATTGTAACAATGAAAGAAGAGTTGTTTGTTGTTTTTTTAAATTTTATTTAGGGGCTCCTGGGTGGCTTAGTCGGTTAAGTGTCTGCCTTCAGCTCAGGTTATGATCTCAGGGTCCTGGGATCGAGCCCCATGTCAGGTTCCCTGCTCAGTGGAGAGCCTGCTTCTTCCTCTCCTCCCTGTTCCTGCTCTCTTTCACAATCTCTCAAATAAATAAAATCTTAAAAAAAAAAGATTTTACTTATTTATTTGACAGAGAGAAAGAGCACGCACAAGCAGGGGAAGTGGCAGGGAGAGGGAGAAGCAGGCTCCCCACTGAGCAAGGCACCTGACATGGGGCTCGATCCCAGGACCCTGGGATCATGAACTGAGCCAAAGGCAGATGCTTAACTGACTGAGCCACCAAGGTGCCCCCGAAAGGAAGAGCTTGAACCAAACTCAGGTTAGGGAATGAAAGAGAACAGCTTATGGAACTGGGAGACTATTAGTCAACTTTTAGCATATAATCATGCATATCAGAAAAATTTCATATTGAAAAATAATTATAAAAACAAAATTACCTCCTTTGAGTCATCTATTCTTTCAAAATAAACAAAAGCAAATCCTCGTGATCGTCCAGTTCGCTGATCATAAACCACATTGACACCACTCAATGGTCCGTATCGAGAAAATACTTCACGAAGATCTCTCTCAGTTGTGTATAAACTGAGGCCAAACACTCCAAGACAAGTGTTGGGATCTGGATTTGCCTGTTAAATGAAGATGTGATTTAATTTCAAGCTCCAAACTGAAATAAAAGTACACACAGAAATACTTTGCTTAGAATACTTCATCTAATACACAAAGACTATACTGTTTCAAGTCACTTGGGAAAGAAGAATTTAAGAGGAAAAAAGCCGGATGAGTTGTATTTTACAGTTCACAGTACACTCAGACCTTCTTTGGAGTATACTTCCACCTTAGCCCGAATAAAAACATCCCTACTTTCTAGCCCAGCAATTTTAAGAATGTATCCTAAGAATCTACCGTAGTTTAAAGCCATATTTGTGTTTATTCAAATGTTTTCTAGCTTACAGATTTGTACTTAAAATGACTTTATCTGTAATTGCTGATTAGACTTTCCTCCATTTTCATTCTTACCAAGGGTATTTCCTTCAAACTTCCCACTATCCAGATTTGAAAATCTATGTACAGATTCCAAAATATCATTAAATAGCAGACTCTATCACAGTTAAATAACTCAGTATCACACGGGGGAAAAGCACAACACAGCACAGCAGTTAAGCACAGGAACTTTAAGAGTCAAGCAGCCTGGCTGAAACCTGGGCTCTGCCAGTTAGCCAAAAACCAAACCTCAGTGTCACATATCCAAAACTCTTATCCATTAAATGTATTGAAAAGCTGCACAGTGCTCCATGTGTTAGCTGTCATTATTACTACATGTTATTTCTTTGCCAGCTTCCCCCAATCCCCACCAAAACTTTTTCTTCTCAATATTCTCAACTCAGTTTATACTTTTCATTTTAATTCTTAGAACATGTATTTTTCCCCCAAATTTCATCTCTTTTAACTACTCAAAAGTCAAGAAAATATATTTAAATGTATATAAACAATATTCATATGCTTAAGGATGTTTCTGGAGTACCACTTTATTTTTTATTTCCTAAGTAATCTCTATACCCAATGAGGAACTTGAATACACAACCCTGAGATCTAGAGTCACATGCTCCACTGACTGAGCCAGCCAGGTGCCCCTGGAGTACCACTTTAAAACAATGGTCTAGTCTCATGAAAGCAAGATATTATGCTCTGACTAAACACATAAAGACAAAATAAGTTTTCATTAATTTTTAAAAACCACATACCCTGCTGCCTGTATGTCTTCTCCGGTTAGACATTGGAGAATGACTTCGGCTTCTTCGACGCCGGTATTCTGGTGTATATGACCTACTTCGAGATCGTCTCCTATGAGAGTGAGAATGGGATCTGGATCGAGTGTAACGTCTATGAGAATGCCTCCTCGACCTCGACCTTTGAGAGAAATACATTTAGGTAAAAATACTGAAACAAGATGGCTAATGCCAAGGATCTATATACATGTATCCCAGAGTTTCCTTCTGAGGAAAGAATATTCTTCCTCTTGTTCTCTTAATCACTACAACATGTTCTCAGTCTATCCCTTTTATACTCTGTTCACTTTACATTACAAGCATGTTACAATTCTACCTTCTTTAAAAAGAAAAAACAAACTAGCACTAAAGAAATCCTGTAATATTCTGCGACACGGATGAAACTGGAAGAAGACATTTTGTTAAGTGAAACAAGTCAGTCTCCAAAAAGACAAATACTGTGATTACACTTATATGAGGTTCTTAGGGTAGTCAAAATCATACGGAGAGTAAAATGGTTGCCAGGGGCTGGGAGGAGGGGAGAACAAGGAGCCACTGTTTTAATGAGTATAGAGTTTCAGTTTTACAAGATGAAAACAGCTCTGGGGACAGATGGTGATGATGGCTGCACAATGTTAATGTATTTACTACCAGTGAACTGTACACTTAAAAATGATTAAGATTGTAAATTTTATGTGTATCTTACAACAAAGACAACACAAACCACCAACTACCATTACCACCACAGTAAAATCCTTTGATTCTTACCATCTTCTCAATATAGTTCTATATTCCCTTCACTGTTAAATACCATTTCCTTTCTAATCTTTCTTTAGCCCACTGCAATCTAGCATCTGCTAAATTAATTCAACCTAAATGCCCATGTAATAGTCTTCATTTATTCAAGCTTCCCACTGTACCTCACATCCTCCACTGCTGATTCCCTGGGTCATCTATCTCTATTTCCAGTCACTCTGATTCTCTTTGCCACTGAATGCAACGATTTCTTTCTTTTTTTTAAAAAAAGATTTTATTTATTTATTTGAGAGAGAAAGAAGAGCAGAAGAGGGGGGAGAGGCAGAAGGAGATGTGGGCTGAGTGGAAAGCCCAACGTGGGGCTCTATCCCAGGACCCTGAGATCATGACCTGAGCTGAAGGCAGACGCTTAACCAACTGAGCCACTCAAGCGCCCCTTAATGCAACAATTTATTTACTATTCATGTGACCCATCCTTAATAAACACCCAGATCAGAAGTGATCAGTCTTTTTTTTTTTTTTTTAAATATGGGGCTTGAACTCACGACCCTGAGATCAAGAGTTGGATGCTGGGGCACCTGGGTGTCTCAGATGGTTAAGTGTCTGCCTTCAGCTTGGGTCATGATCCCAGGGTCCTGGGATCGACCCCACGTCCGGCTCCTGGCTCAGCGGGGAGCCTGTTTCTCCCTCTGCCTCTCCCCCTGCTCGTGCTCTATCTCTGTGTCTCGAATGAATAAATAAAATCTTTAAAAAGAGTTGGATGCTTAACCAATCGAGCCACCCAGGCACCCTAGTAGTGATCACAGTCTTACAAAATAACTTGTATGCTTAATGTTATACATGCTAAGGGCCAGAAAGTTTAAAAAGATAGCACATGGGTGAAGGGAATCAAACTAATGAGGGAAGATTATTCAAAACAAAGAAGGCTAACAATAAACCTGGGAGACATAAATTTTACTAGGTAGACAGGGGAAAAGTGTTTTAGGAATAGCAAGAGCAAAGGTTCCTTGGCAAGACATGGAGATGTGGTTCCTAGCAGATTTAGGATACTTTTAGATACTTTCCATTTTCCTTAGCACTAATTTATAGCCTCCATGTAAAAGATAAACATTAACAAGAAAACCTGTCATTTAACATATCAATTGGGTTTTTTTTAAAGATTTTTTTTTTTTTTTTTTTTAAGATTTTATTTATTTGACAGAAAGAGACACAGCGAGAGAGGGAACACAAGCAGGGGGAGTGGGAGATGGAGAAGCAGGCTTCCCGAGGAGCAGGGAGCCCGATGCGGGACTCGATCCCAGGCCCTGGGATCATGATCTGAGCTGAAGGAAGACACTTAACTACTGAGCCACCCAGGGGCCCCATCAATTGTTATTTTTAAATAGTAATGAAAAATGAGACATTAATCAAAAACCCTTCAGGACTGCCTAACTTTCCTCTAAATCAGATAGTGGTAAGTCTTATGAAAAAAAATTAAGAGTAAGGGAGGGGCGCCTGGGTGGCTCAGTCGTTAAGCGTCTGCCTTCGGCTCAGGTCATGGTCCCAGGGTCCTGGGATCAAGCCCCCACATCAGGTTCCCTGTTCAGCGGGAAGCCTGCTTTTCCCTCTCCCACTCCCCCTGCTTGTGTTCCCTCTCTCATTGTGTCTCTGTCAAATAAATAAATAAAATCTTAAAAAAAAGATTAAGAGTAAGGGAATAAAGAAATATTCTCAAGTGACGCTCAGGCAGAGAATAAATCAAGTAACTGAGTATCTGAGGGAAGAGAATTCTAGGCTGAGAGCAGCAAATGCAAAGATCCTAAAATGCAAATATGCTCATTTCTGTCTGCACACCCAAATTCTACACAGTGCTACTCTGGACATGTAGATTTAATTAGAGTGGTTAGTAAATCAAGTTGGATTCTGGATACGATAAAGACATAGCTGTGGACTCAAGAAAAGTACAGTCCTTTAACCAATTCTTCGGTCTCATGCTCCATTGGCAAGTAAACTCTATACAAATTGTGCCTCTAATCAAGAAATTATGACTTACTGAATTACCTGTCCAAATTGTTTTTAAACTTTCTTTCACCCACCCCTGTACACGTGGGACATCTGATACAGTGAACTTTGTAGTGGTTCACTAGTGTTTTTGTTTTCAGTAGAAATGATAGTGGCAGAGGCTTCTGAATCATCCAGAGACTCCCCCACTCCCTGCCCCAACTATATCTGGCCAGAGTTCCACCCTGAACCTACTGAGTCACAATCTTCAGGTAAAGGATGTAGCTGGAATGTCAATCTTGAAAAAGCTTCTCAAATCATTCCGATAATTAGTACAACATAGATACATCAACCTTCTCTGCACTAAATTACATGCCAAGTCTCCAACAGAGAAAATTACATTTTTGTTGCACAAATAAATAAAATCAAACTCCAATCCCCATTGCCAAGTACATTTAAATCAATCAACACATTTAATTTATATTAATAGCTAGCTTAGATAGGTTAACTGAGCTAAGAAATGACTCGACTCTGCCTTATCTAAATCTTTATCTAGAAAATCAAATCTTTATCTAGAACATTCATTTCTTTTCTTTTTCCTTTTTTTTTTTTTTTTTTAAGATTCATTTATTTATTTTAGGGGGGGAGAAAGAGACAGAGTGCATGCACACAAGCATAAGTGGGAGAGGAAGAGAAGCAGACTCCCTCCTGCGGGCAGAGCCTGATGCAGGGCTCAATCTTAAGACTATGAGATCATGACCTGAGCTGAAACCGAGAGTTGGATGCTTAACTGACTGTGCCACCCAAGTGCCCCCAGAACATTCATTTCTAACTCCCCCGTTTTGAGAAAAACTTCATGATTTTGTGAAATTTCTATACAAAATGCAGCAAAAACAAAGGACTTGGTAAAAACCACCTTGCTCTGAAAAATCCAAAGAAAGCATCTTAAGTATTATTTTAAGCATACTTACCTGGATTTTGATCTTGATCGAGAATGGGATTCTGAGTGTTTGGAAACCCTTGATGGACTACGAGATCCTGACCTGCTCTCCGATTTTACACGAGCAGGAGTTCCCGTTGGAGATTTTGACTGAGAGCGAGACTCCTAACAAAGAAGACAGTATTACAAATGGCACTGGTCACGTAGATGCCTAACACCTAACATTTAAAGTACCGTAATTATTTATATTGATTGCTCCTGAAAAACAAATGGTTAGGCAACACCCTCCAGAAAAAATTTCAGCTCATTAATAACCCATTGTTAATACTGCTAACTGTCCTCAATAATTCCCTACTTGAACCAGATCACCAATTCTCTATTAACTAAGAAATCATGCAAATTCATCTACAACTTGATCATACAGACACTGGAACATAAACCATACATTTACTTAACCTAGGACCCATTCATTCTTCCAGATTCTTTTAATTCTACTTCACTCTTGCTTTCTACTTCTCTTCATTCTTCATTGAGTTTTTCATTTTTCATACTTCGTGTATTCTTCCCCAATTCAAACAATTCAAAATAGCCTTAAAAAAAAATATTCAAGTGCTTCTATCTGACCAATCTTCTGTTCAATTTTTTCCCCCATTCAATTTTAATTTTCTGATCTTTAATACTTTTCATTAGCCTTCTTTTATCTTGATTTATCTTCCACATTCTTGGAAAAAACTCTTCAATTTCTTCACGAACATTAACCTTAATGGAAAAAGAACATTTAGTATATTTAAGCACGTGGGGTTTATAAAACTCTGCTGGAGTTCAGAATGTTATCTACCAAATGGAAAAGCCAGCAGGTAAAGTGCAAATAACTAGTTTATTAAAAAACAATTTTATAATCTTTAAAATTGTCCAAGTCTAGTTTCTAACAAAGAGAATTTACTGAATTTCTCTAAATGTTTTTACCATATTCTTCACCCTCCTCCCCTTTCGTGTTTCATCCTAGTTCCTAAAACGTGAACAATTTTAATATAAATACTTAACACCCAACATAAATCTAACTGTAACCACCCCCGCCCCACCTAGCTTATAACTTGAAGATTCTTAGTCATCTTAAAATAAGCTTTCACTAAGCCATGCTAAGATACCAAGGTACAGTTAAAGCAAAGCATTCTAGGCTAAAATTTGTATACACCTACCTAAACTCACATATTACAGGACACATGCTGAGGTTCAAAGAAGTAAAAAAATTAAATTAGTGAAATTACTAACATCTTCTCCCAAGTATGTTTGACCACTATCTTTGCAAACTCCAACTTAATCAGAAACATATGTTCTAATGTAAAAGCAACATAAAGAAAAAACTAAGGGGAAAAGAGAGCATGAAATTCTTAAAATTTCCCCTTTGGCTTGTAAATTACTAATACTTGTAATTTTGCAACCGTGCCATTTTAATATTCTATATTATCCATGAAGTATCAAAACGTACAAAAAGTTACAAAATTAGTACCATGGTCTTTATTTTTTGATCCCACCAATTTTATTCATAGTTTTGCATATTTTATGCAGTTCTGCATACATATACTTCCTTCAATGACTATATCCTGTATCAGAAAACTGGCTTCTGAAAAAGTTGGATATAAATCAGAACCCTCCAAATCAAATGATTTAAAACTGATTAAGAGACTTTTTAAATTTCACAGATATATGAGGCACTTATGACCAAAGTAGGACGGACAGTTTGGTTTCTCTGTCCATTTGAGCCTTGATTATTAGTGTAAATAATCACCCCAACTTCACACCAATTTTCATTTATGCCACAAGACTACCTACCACACAGCTTCCTTAAGACTTTCCCTTTACTTTCAGTTTAATGCCAAAAGACTTATTTATCAAGAACTGTACTAATGCTTCTAGGCCTAGGCCTATTTATTTTTCAGATGCAAACAAAACTGAAATATGCTACCTTTCTGTTCAATATCAACCTTTTCCATTTAGCTACCTACAATAAGTCTTTCACCACATCTCTGATACCCTCTAAATTCCTGGACAAATGCCTGGAGCAGGCACAGCAATTTAGGCTTTTTCATTCATTGAAACTGTAAAAGCAGCATATTCAGTACTTAAAAAAAAAGTAATAGCTAATTTGCTTGTAACTGAAGAATCACACAGGCTAGTTAAGCTGAAAAGAGTATCTTCCCCTCTCTCTTGGCCTTCCCTTCTATAAAACTGATCCTGTGGTATAATATTTGTTTATGCTACTGTTTAACAGCAGTTGAGGAACAGTATCTATGAATATCACCATGGCTCATGTTATACATACATTTTAGAATGCTTTGCGTTCTGTGACGCTGTTAAACCTTTAATTTTGTAAGTATAGAAATCCAAGTCTTATATTAAAATCCAAGATTTATTCTTAAATGCTTACTTTCCAGTACATGATAAAAATATTATGGTCCAAATATGTGTACACTCGATGTCCAAGTCTTCCCTTATAAACAGTTGAAAATTATTCAACAGTGCTGAAAATTGCCACTTCTTAGGAATTAATGTAAAAAGGCAACTTAGTAACATCCTAAATTTTAAAGTTTAAATTTCAGTTCTGGCATAGCAAACTCATTGGAAAAAATGAAAATTTCCTTTTGGTTTGGTAACAAAACATTAAGATACAAGAGTATCTTTTCAAAAGATATTAGGATAGATTTTTTTAAAAGTCTTGCTTTTTAATTATCTAAGGTGTCATAAATACCTAACACCTCCTTTGTTGCCATCCTTCAGTTTTTATACCAAAGAAACCTGAATCTGCATAAATTTCTTCATGGAATCATTCAAGGTTAAGAAACCTCTTAACTCCCTTGTAACACCTAGTTACAAAGTTGTTATTACCATTTTAACCTCCAAAAACAATTTGGAGACATCTAAAAAGGTTAATCAATAACTGTCAGTAAACTTAACCTGAAGAATAAACTACAAAGCATAAAATAAACTTTTAATTCTTCAGAATTATTTTTATTGTAATACCAAAAAAAAAAAAAAAAAAAGGCCCACCATTCTAAGAACTGGTAGTTAACTCTTCATGCGTGCAAAAATGGTCATATAAATATTTGCCATATTTAAGTAACTTTATTTTTCAAAACCTAGTACCAAGTACCATTTTCACTAAACTGTGCATTAGATATCAAGGTACAACAAGCCCTTTATGGACAAATGCTAGATTATCCTTTTCTACCTTTGACTTGTCTTCATTACAAAATGATAACTTCAACTTTTTTTTTTCAAAGAAACACATAAAACTACTCAGAATTTGGAAACTGAATTGAAAGTGCAACAGAAAAATAAAATACTGAGAAGGGGCGTTATCTGTCCTGTTTCACTACCCTATACTTAACCTACTCTTAAACCTGTCCCATCAAGAAATTCTGCAAATTCCTCAGTAACCTGCATGTGGATCCAACAACCATTTAAAAATATGCTGTCTAGTTGAAATGAGCAGACTGACTCAACCAAACTATATCCACATTTTTAATAGCAATCAAACAGGCTTCCAGTCTACCTTACCTATTATAAACCAGAAGCCAGGCAGAAAGTTTTCACAGTACAACCTGCTTAAACGGTGTGTTTTTGTTCTTCTAACTATTCTTTATTATCAGGGTACCTCGGGTGGAAGCTGGAGGACACAGCCAAAAATAAAAAAGAGAGAGCTAACCATGAATACTCTGAAAGTACCACAGTATATCCAATTCAAGCAATCTGTGTTAAAATACAGCTGCATTTTACACACTGTAAACAACCACAACAACCACGTACTATTCCTTCAATCAAGGCGAAGGGTTATTAAACATATGCACACATTGTTGCAGAACATGAACAATTCCTACAGTAAGCAATTGCAATCTTTTATTTTTTAATACAGCTAGTATCATATAATAGGTGGAAGAAAAAAATTCCAACAACACATATGCTTAGTACTTAAAGCCCACTAAAATAAACACATAACGTAAAAATGCTAAACTGTAACCCATTCTAATATTATGGTAATGCAAATTCTATGCCAAGTCATAGTGCCAAGTTTATACAAATTCAAGTCTGTAATAGCATAAACTTTTAAAACAAACTTTCTCAAAATATATTTTCCCACTACTTTATGAAAGTTGGAGATCTATTTCCATAAAAATATTAGTGCATTTAGGTAAATTTTATGTCCCAAGGGGGGAGGAGTACTTAAATTACTACAATATAATATTTACTGTACTAAGAACTTCATTCTTTGCAGCTTATGGGAAACTTTTGTTTATCCAATTCTTTAATTTGTCTACATAAATAGCAGTTCTTGAGTATGATAGGCTGCTTCTCTTGGACTCTCAAACTTATAAAAGAAATACTTCCACTCTCTTAACCCATAACTGCTATTAAAGCAATTCCTTAAAAAAGAAAATACCTACATGCTGCATTCTAAGTGAGGTTAAAGCAGTCTTTCCATCTAAAAAGGCTCACAGATTCTAACACTGTGTCTTTACATTCTCTAAAGTTTGGAATAATTTTGGAAATGCTTAAAGAAATTATATAGGAATTGGCATATTATTATCAAATTTATTTATATATTATCAAATATATTATGTACCAAATATATTAAGAGACTCTTAATATATTTGCATATATTATCAAATTTAAACTATCTACAACTGTGAAATTACCTGTAAAATTTATATAATCTAGGGCGCCTGGGTGGCTCAGTTGGTTAAGCGACTGCCTTCGGCTCAGGTCATGATCCTGGAGTCCCTGGATCGAGTCCTGCATGGGGCTCCCTGCTCGGCGGGGAGTCTGCTTCTCCCTCTGACCCTCCCCACTCTCATGTGCTCTCTCATTCTCTCTCTCAAATAAATAAATAAAATCTTAAAAAAAAAAATTTATATAATCTTTTGTATAAATTTTTAGTATGGTTCATAAACCAGCCAGCTTATATGTCATGATCAATTGTAATGTCCAAAAAGTTTAGCTATATTAAAAGCCAATAAATAACAACTAAAAACAAATTGTTTACTAAGAACCTGTTATAGAATTTTCTACTTAGGTTCTCATCTTCTAATATCATGGGACTATTTATGAATCTTGAGTAAGAGACTACAGGCCCTTAGTTTAAGAAAAATAACTTCTACTTCAGATTGGTCAGGCAGCCCTAGTCACTTATACTTTTGGTGAAAATCATGAGATAATAAGGATTATACACAACTACATATTGACAGTAATCTAAAGGAGGGAGGGGAAACCACTTTTCCTTTCATTATTACCCTCTCAACTTTTTTTTAAACAGTGTTTAGTGATTCTTTTCCCCATCTGATCATTACTGTTTTCTCACCTGCACTTCTGTCCTGCTAAATCTGTTACACAGGTGAACAAATAACAATCCGTATTAACTCATTTAGCATGCAAATATATACCTTTTACAAAGGTCCCAGGGTTAGTTAGTTGATGCCTGAGCACCCATTGATAGTATCAAAGAAAAGGTTTTCACACTGTCAGGAAGATTTTAGGAAATTATTATGTTGATTATCCATGGCCATTTCACACTTGTTTACACTACACATACCATAGGTAAATAACTTCAGTTCATTTACAAAAATAAATCCATAAACAAAGCTCATCTGTTGTTGTTTTTTTTTTTACGACTCTCCTACTAAATATTTAAATCCCTTTGAAATCTCAGATATCAGGACTTTTTATGCTCATTTTAGGAATGGCACAAACCATTAAGCATCTATGACAAATCGGTGCACTGGGAGCACAATTAGTTATATTGCTTTTAAAAATCCCACCTTCTACTTAAATTGAGCAAATTAGCACGCTTCAGTGAAAGAGTCTCAAATATTAAAATTTGAGCATTAAAATGTTTCCTTAAGTTTACAAATTCTTTGCTTAAAAAAATGACAGGAGGAATAAAAAAGCATTAAAATTGGATAAATAACAGCACTTAACTTTAATAAACTAAACCCAAGACATTAATGTCTTGGGTTTAATACTGTCAGTATCATGAGAAAGGAAGTCTTACCCCTTTGTAATAGGTTGATGAGATATATGAAATTAAATTGCTGAAGAAACTAAGTATTTTTAAAAGCTAAACTGATGACCTGACATTCTTATCTGTAAAAGAGAGATTGTTTTATTTGTATTTTTTTATTTTTTAATTTAAATTTTTTTAAGATTTTGTTTTTTTTCTTAAAGGAAGGGAAAGGGTAAACCTCACTTGTACTCTCACATTTATTAAAGTTTCATCAACAGAAAAATTTAAAGCAAAGTTTAAGGTTTTTTTTTAAGCCAGTCACCAAAATGGGTCTCGAATGGCACAAGCATCACCCCAATTATTACAAATCAGGTTTCAGGGAAGAAAAAAAGCTTCCCACATTTCTGCTGTTCTTTAACAAAATAACACACATTTTAATTCCAAACAGGTACAGAGGAATTTGTACTTTGCTTTTCACTTCTGTCATCCAGTCAAACCATCTAATATATTAAGAAGGAGAACACTAGGAGTCCTTTAAAAATATTCTAGCTACTCAAGATGCCAGAATTAACTCTGAAAAGGAGACAAGTATTATCTTTCCTCTTCAACTGTACTACAAAGCATAGACAATTATGGAATTATAAGATGGACCCCCACATGAGAATCATTAACCACTATTAAAAACAATGGGCCACTGTATGAGAAAAAATTGGGCTTAACATTTTTCTAAAATTGGTTAAAAAGATAAATTAGGGGTAGAAGGTAAGATAAGTAAAATGGTAAGAAAAGCTTAATTTCCATTTCCCTTAATTTCTATGAAGGAGACTACAATTTTTTTGAGGCCTAAATCCTAATCTTAGTTGAAGCTGTGTGAAGCCAACAACTCTTTTTATGAAGATGACAAGCAAATTCATAGCTCAAGTGCCAGCCTCATTCTCAGCTCCAAATTTCCAATTAAAATACTTAAGTTGATACACATGTCCCAAACAAACTGCTTTAATGAACCTATTTATTTTAATGGGACCCCTCTTCTCCTGGATCCCTTGATCCATTCATTCTTTACATCCCACTGCTGTCCTGTTTAGACCAGAGTTTTCATAATTTCCTTCCTTAAATAGGTCAAGTGTGCCTTGCTCTTCTTGTACCAGTCCTTCTGTTCTTTGCTAAAATTCCTTTCATTATGCCACTCCCAGAATTAAGAATCCATACATGTCTTCTTACTGCATACCGGATTAAGTCCAAATCCCTATACCTAGAATTAAAAACCTTCCATTATCTGACTGCCTATCTAGTCAAATCTATCCTCTCACTACCCCAGCAACCTCCGCATTGTCATATCCACACAATCTATTCTCTAACCATAAAATCCAATGTGAGTTTTACACATTAGATAAAGCTTTCCCTTTCCCCTAGCTCACAAAACTACTCAGCTCCATTTTCTCAATTCCATATTAATTCTATCACAGGACACTTGATTATATACTTACTTTTACCCAGATTTGAGCTGTCAGTCATCTCAAATTAGACTCCAAGTTCTTTTTCCCTCAAGAACACCTAACCTTTACTAAAAAGGCAGCAGATGCTTAACAGTTTTACCTCAGGCAGAAGCGAATTTTGATTGGGTTAACTATTAGGGTTACTTATTACAAAATTCAGCCAATTATATTTTCTTTCCTAACGTTCTTTTACTCCAGTCCTCTACAATGAAAGAAACATTAATCCATAGCGGAAAATTAAGCTGCTATAAACGGTTTTTAGCAAACTAATATAATGTGTCTGAGACACTGAAGTACAGCGTGCTTTTTAAAAAACTAAATCAAAATATATACAGCATAGTGTATGTATGCAATGAGCAATGGACTGGGACCTGTAAATCTGATTCCTGGCTACATGGTCTTCTAGACCTCAGTATTTAATTTCTACAAAGGTATGAGTACTTCAATCCTTGCAAAATGATTACAAGTAGTACATCTGAAAATATGTCACAGATCTGGCGGGAGGGTGGTAAGATTCTAAAATGCTAAAAAAAAATAACTATTAGTAATAGTCCTGTTTCTTTGATGTGTTCTGCAGTCTCTAGGAAATTACCCTCTAAGTCTAGGTATCTTTACAGTAAGATAGGGTTAATATGTACTATTTATTCCAGAGATAAAGCAAATGAAATCTGACCTGTCAATGAAACCTCAAAAACATCATTTGAAAATCCTGTTTTGAGCCTCTCTAAATGGTCATTACACTTAGATACAAAGATAACACAACTGTAGTCTATAAAAATTTTTAAAAACTGCTGGTTTGTGGTTAGCAGATAAGAAATCAAAGTAGTTTAAAAACCAAAAGCACTAGTGAGTATTAAATTGTTTTAAGAAACAATTTAAAAAAAGAAAAAGTACACCCTCAGAAAAGCTTCTGGCATTCTTCTAATTCTTTAACCAATTACAAAAAGACAATTACCCCAACCTACAAAAGAAAAAAAAAAGATATAACAGGTAAGGGTAGGCGTATTCATTATTCAATCTGTTGAGTTCATTTACACTAAAATACACTTAGGTATCACGTGTCAAAAATATAGTCATGAATGTAACCACTGTAAGGGGGGGATGGAGAACCCTTCTATTAACATAGAATGTTAATGCCTACATATATTTTAGCATAAAATTGGGTGGGAATCTTACATACATGGCTTTCTCAGGTGGGTAAGGTGACAGTTACCTAGAACTTGTTCCATTCCTCGACTTGGTAAAAACTTAAAGGAAAACAACGTCCCAAATAGTAGTCCTCTTCACTTTCCCACAAACCAAATCAAAACAAACATTAGCAAAAAAATAAATTTCTGTACTAAAATCAATGGACAGAAAGATTAATGGATAGCAAAATTTCTTCCCATAACTACCTAACATGATCAAAACAAGCAGCTTACAATTACCACCAAATGTTTTTATTACAAGATTTTTAAAAAGTTTTGTTGGGACAATCAGTATCTCATCCTAAGAATAAAGCAGGTTCAACTACTCACTTATAGCTGTGATCGAGATTTTATTTTAAAAATCTAATCTTAAAGGCATTAAAAAGTAGTTTTGTTTCTAACCTATTTAAATTTTTCCTCACAAAGAACAAAAGCCTAAATTGACCTTCTGATTTAACTGTCTGGTTCCAAGTACTTATATTATGGGCTTCTAAAAAAGACAAAATTCATTCCATCTAGCACACACCTTAAGTGTTTTTATGCGTTTCCCCTAGTGACGAGAATACCAACACAACAGCAAGAACACGCTGCCTGGGGATTCTCCTTCCAGGGTTTCACACTAACCCACTTCCACCAATTACCACTGAGGGTAACTTCGGAAGTAGAACTCAAACTATCAATGTTCTAATACATCTAGGCTAAGGATAACGTATCTTTGTGATCTTTACATTCATTGACCCCAAATAATGGAAATCCTTGAGCCCTCTCTGTAGGGGGATGGGGTGAGAAGGGAAATGGGAGGGGGGTCTGCAATTTTCAGGTAGCGTTTTGAGTTACGGAATAGTGTAAAACTGACCAGCTATTTTTAAAATACTGAGCCACAAAATTTGTTCAGTTACGTAAGATTAAGATTTTTTTGTTTACCGTAAAAACCTGTAAAGAAGTGGTTTTTAGATGAAAGCTCACAGGAAGGAAAGCATCAGAAGTTGAGATATAAAGAGAGAAAAAACCCAACATCAAGGAATTAGAAAAATCAGGCGTTATTAGCATTTCCACATTCATTTTGAAGTGAAAAGAAAGTAGAAGGGACATTAAGGGAAAAGGACTCCTTGCGTAGTTTTCCCCTCACAGCTCTCGTCTTAAGAACGCTTAAGGGTCGGTGCGGTCGTTGACTAACCACTTCATTAGGCTCGTCCCACCTTCAACCTCAAGGCTTTCGCCTTTATAGACGCAACGCCGCCGGTTCCAACAGAGACGCGGCCGCTCACTGCAATAGAGAGCCAAGGAGACACAGGCCCCAGCTAGTCCCACGCCAGCTTCTCCCCGCCCGGACAACAGCCCCGCGCAGTTTCGACCCCGAGACCCTCTACGATGCTCGGGGTCGCCAGAAATGCCACCGCAGGAAGCACCTACCACTATCCGGCCGGAGGGGAACTCCCTGCCGTCTCCTCCCGCCCCACCGCGACGGGGACCCACTCCTCGGAACAGAGGTAAGGAAGCCTCAGGGGTGGGGAGAAGGGAGGGCGCACTGCGGGGGGAAATCGGACCCAGGAGTCCAGGTAGCAGTCAGTCTCCAGAAAAGGGGGAGAGGGGTTATCCGCGGTGTTGGGGGAACGAGTGGAACCCAGAAGCCATCTTGGCATGTGAGGAAACAACCGCGATGGCTCCAGAGGCTGCTCCCCGCGGGCCCCCGCAGGACTCCCCGCAACCCCGCCCGACCGCGCTCGTCCCCGTGAAACCCCGAGCATCGGGCCGCCGCCGAAGACGGCTCCCGCGGCTTTGTACTCACTCTGCCCTCGAAGTTGTTCTCCTCTACATCACTCATGTCGGCCAGGCGCTCCCCAGAACTAAATAAGAGGCAAGTTTCGGCTTGAGGGCCGATGGCCTAATCAACCGCTGACTGGACCGTGGGGAGGAGGAAAGAGTCGGCAACAACGGCCGCTCCACTCCACTCCCACTCGGTCACAGGCTCCGGCAAAATGGCGCCGGCCCCGCCAGAAACCTTCTGGCCTCCCAGTGCGCGACGTAAGGGGGCGGGACGTCTCTGCGACGTCACTAGCCCCGCCTCTCGCCGGGCTTTGTGGTGGTCCCGGCCTAGCAGGGGGGTGACCTATGTTGGGAGTCGCGTCGCGTTGCAACAGAATCCCCAGCAGAGTGACCTCCAAACTTAGGACCCCTTTCTAACACGTCAGTTCTTTTTGAAGATCTTGAGTAACCAGATGAGCTTTTATTGACCTTGGCCCCTTTAAATATTTTCCAAATGGATTCTGATGGAACAGAAAAAACTGGAAGCATATAAAATATAAAATTAATATGTTCTTATTTTTGGGTATTTTCAGCAGTCTATTACTTTTCTTCAACCATTGCCCTTTATAATGCTATCAACATAACACATGAACAGGGGGATGTATAATAAAAAGTCACAGTTCCTTGCCTCACTCCGATCTCCAGTCCCTCCACCCAGAGGCAACTGTATCAATTTCATTTTTAAAATTTATTTTTTTTAAAGATTTTTAAAATTTATTTACTTGACAGAGAGATAGAGAGCACAAGTAGGCAGAGCGGCAGGCAGAGGGAGAGGGAGAAGCAGGCTCTCCGCGGAGCAGGGAGCCCGACGTGGGGCTCCATCCTGGGACCCTGGGATCATGACCCCAGCCGAAGGCAGCCGCTTAACTGACTGAGCCACCCAGGTGCCCCTTTTATTTATTTATTTTAAATATTTTATTTATTTATTTGTCAGAGAGAGTGAGAGAGGCAGGCAGAGGGAGAAGCAGGGTCCCTACTGAGTAAGGAGCATGATATGGGACTCAATCCCAGGACCCTGGGATCATGACCTGAGCCAAAGGCAGACGCTTAACCAACGGAGCCACCCAGGCATCCCTCATTTAAATGCTTAGCTCCCTGGGCGCCTGGGTGGCTCAGTTGTTAAGCGTCTGCCTTTGGCTCAGGTCATGATCCCAGGGTCCTGGGATCCAGCCTGCATTGGGCTCCCCGCTCAGGGGGAGGCCTGCTTCTCCCGCTCCCATTCCCCCTGCTTGTGTTCCCTCTCTTGCTATGTCTCTCTCTGTCAAATAAACAAATAAAATCTTTTATTTTAAATTTTTTAAAATTTTTTTATGTTATGTTAGTCACCATACAATACATCATTGGTTTTTGATGTGGTGATCCACGATCCATTGTTTTCGTATAGCACCCAGTGCTCCATGTAGTACATGCCCTCCTTAATACCCATCACCGGGCTAACCAATCCCCCATCCCCCCTCCCCTCTAAAACCCTGTTTGTTTCTCAGGTCCATAGTCTCTCATGGTTCATCTCTCCCTCCAATTCCCCCCCCCCATTTTCCCCTTCCTTCTCCTAATGTCCTTCATGCTATTCCTTATGTTCCACAAATAAGTGAAACCATATGATAATTGACTTTCTCTGCTTGACTTATTTCACTTAGCATAATCTCCTCCAGTCCCATCTATGTTGATGTAAAAGTTGGGTATTCATCCTTTCTGATGGCTGAGTAATATTCCATTGTATATATGGACCACATCTTCTTTATCCATTCATCTGTTGAAGGGCATCTTGACTCTTTCCACAGTTTGGCTATTGCGGACATTGCTGCTATGAACATTGGGGTGCATATGGCCCTTCTTTTCACTACATCTGTGTCTTTGGGGTAAATACCCAGTAGTGCAATTGCTGGGTCATAGGGTAGCTCTATTTTTAAATTTTTGAGGAACCTCCACACTGTTTTCCAAAGTGGCTGTACCCACTTGCATTCCCACCAGCAGTGTAAGAGTGTTCCCCTTTCTCCACAACCTCTCCAACATTTGTTGTTTCTTTCCCTGTCCGTTTTGCCATTCTAACTGGCGTAAGGTGGTATCTCAATGTGGTTTTAGATTTTTTTTTTTTTTTTTTTATTCATGAGAGACAGAGCGAGAGAGAAAGGCAGAGGGAGAAGCAGGCTCCCAAGGAGCAGGGAGCCCGATGCGGGAGCCGATCCCAGGACCCTGAGATCATGACCTGAGCCGAAGGCAGACGCCCAACCATCTGAGCCACCCAGGCGCCCTCAATGTGGTTTTGATTTGGATTTCCCTGATGGCTAATGATGATGAACATTTTTTCATGTGTCTGTTAGCCAACAAATAAAATCTTAAAAAAAAAAAAATAAATGCTTAGCTCCCTAGTACTCTTTGAGACATTTCCTTACAGAGTTGTAGGCAAGACCTCTCAAATCTATCCATTTGGTTCTCAATTCTCTCTCTTAGACAAACAAATAAAATCTTAAAAAAAATTTTTAAAAATTAAAAAGGTGTTGAACTTTATAATGAGGGAATCAGGCTGATACTATTCGAACCTCCCAATCCATCTTAGCACCATTAAAACAGAGACGACCAGACATTGATGTACCTCTTCATGTGATGCGATAGTGAATACACAGCGCCTTCTATAAAGTATCTGTGATTCCTCCAAATTGAGCTCAAATCTAATTAAGCCTTAGTTCTAACCAATAATTTACAGGAAATACAAGGAATAGAAAAATTAGTTTAAAAAAAAATCAGTAGGAAGGAAGTAGTCTGTTTCCACAGAGCAAATAACCAAATTTCCGCAACAGAGTAAATAAATTTAAAAACATGGGTGTAGGGGGGGGAAGGTGGACTATTAATGACTAAAAGAGTTTTAAGAGACATAAGTAAGTACCTCATGATTTTGATTTAAAAAAAGCTGTTTTAAGACAGCAAGATTTGAATAAGGACTAAAAATGTGATGATATTGAGGAATTAATTTTATCAGGTGTGATAATGGTATGGTGGATATATTTAAAGAAAAAAGTTTTACCATGAAATGATGTATCTGGGATTTGCTTTATTTAATTAATTAATTTATTTATTTATAAAGGTTTTATTTATTCATTTGTCAGAGAGAGAGAGAGAGAGCGAGAGCGCACAAGCAGAGGGAGAGGCAGGCAGAAAGAGAAGCAGGCTCCGCACTGAGCAGGGAACCCAATAAGGGACTCGATCCCAAGACCCTGGGATCATGACCTGAGCCGAAGGCAGACCCTTAACCAACTGAGCCACCCAAGCATCCCTCATTCTTTTTTTTTTAAAAATGCTTAGCTCCCTAGTACTCTTTGACTGAGACATTTCCTTACAGAGTTGTAGGCAAGACCTCTCAAATCTATCCATTTGGTTCTCATTTCTCTCTCTCTGACAAACAATAAAATCTTTAAAAATTTTTTTAAAAATTAAAAAGGTGTTGAACTTTATAATGGAATCATGACCCAGGCCAAAGGCAGACGATTAACCAAGTGAGCCACCCAGGTGTCCCCAGAAAGATTTTTTTTAAATATATTGCAAGAAATTACTTCTTTTCGTTGTATTAAACAGCTAATGAAAACACTTTCAAAAGGTCAAAAACTTCATCACAACTTTACAATAAATAACATCTCAGAGATAGTATTTTTTTTCAGAGATAGTATTTTGAAGGACAATAATTATTTGAATGGACAAGTTCTATTTTTTTCTCCTCATTTTGAGCTCATTTTAAAAATTATAAAAATAGTTCAAAGAATTCTCTTTATTCAGCTTCCCCAAGTGTTAATGTCTTACAAAACCTCAGTACAATTGTCAAAACCGGGAAATAGACATAGTATTGACTAATCTGCTGACTTTATTCAATTTCATCAATTGTTCCACTAATATTCCCTTTCTGGGCTAGGATATAATGCAGGATTACACACTGCATTTAATTGTCCTCTCCCTTTCATCTGAATAGTTCCTCAGTCTTTGTCTTTCATCTTCAGTCTTTGTCTTTTACGACCTTGAAACTTTTGAAGAGTACTGGCCAGCATTTTGTAGACCTACTTCAGTTTGGGTTTGTCTGATGTTTCTCCTGATTAAATTCAGGTTGCATGTTTTGGCAAGAGTCTCACAGAAGTGATGTTTTATTCTTCTCAATGCATGGTATCTGAAGGTATGTGATCTCCATGTTTTATTGCTGGCAATATTAACCTCAATCGCTATTTATCAAGTGATATTTGCTGGATTTCTCCAGTGTAAAATTGCTTTCTTTGTCTTTGTAATAAAAGAGTATTTTGTGAGGTGATTCTTTGAGACTTCGTAAATATCCTGCTTCTCATAATACTTTCTTGCTTGCAACA